AATGAAATTGAAAACTAAGCAAAGAGTCTTAATGGGAATGAATATATATTTTTAAACGGTATATTTTCATATGAATTATTTAATGTATTATAACATTTTTTATCATATTATATTATATGAAGCGCTTAATTTTCTCAGTAAAAACTGGACGCAGCTTAATGGCTGCTTATTGTGATTACAGCACCGCCTGCCTACAGGCGATTGGCGACAACAAAGCGAGTTAAAAAACTGCCCAAAAGAGTAAACGAAAAAAAGCCGAGTTGAGGGAGAAAAAAGCCAAGGGAGAGAGAAAAAACAAGATTGATGAGGTTTCAATAAAGTCCATTCGGTAGATTGCGAAGCCTGGCAATAATAAGGCAAATGAATTGGCTATTAAAGTAGTCAAGTGTGTGCGTGTGTGTGTGCCTGTGTGCGTGTGTCCGTATGACGCTTGGTCTGGCAACGCTAGCAGCCAGAGCTGCCCACTAATTGGTGCGAAAACTATTGGCCCAAACTTTTGGCCAGTTGTCCTTCAAACTTTATGGGGAAAAACACACATGTAAAAAATATGAATGATGAGCAGCAAAGTGTAAAATGCAATCTATATATTGTACATATATATATTGCATACATATATCGCTTATATATCGCATAAAAAGTATCGCAACAACTTTATTCTCTGGCAGTTGTTGCTAAGTGAGTGAGAGCAAAGTTTTTATTTGTTGCAATTGAAATGCCAAGGCAGAGAGGAAGATAGGGAGAGAGAGTGAGCGAGAGATAGCAGAGATAGGCTCTGCACTGCTCCAGCTCTGCAATAAATGTTCGGGTCTTCTGGGTCCTCTGCCTGCGGCCTGTAGACAGGAAGCCGTAGCTTTTAGCTTTTTAGTTGGTCGCACAATTGATTTGTCGTCGCTCAGCCTCTGCCGCCCCTGCCGCCCCTGCCTATCTTGTCCTATCTTGTCCATCAACCCCAGTCGCTCACCTTAGTTGGCCACGTTGTGTGCCCGCCCTTTCGCCCTCCTGCCTGGCTGTCTGCCAGCCTGCCCAGGCTGAGTCTCGTCTCCTGCGCTGCGTCTCGTTGTCAGTGAAGTGTTAAAATCGATTAAATAAAAGTTTATTGCTAAATTGCTAACTGGCTAAGCTTGTTTTCGACCCCTACCTCTACGCCCCCACGCACCCCCAGCCCCCGCCGGAGCACTCCAGCCAAGTGGCTTTTTGTTTCTTCATAGAAATTTGCCGACTTTGAAGTTTGCCCTTCATCGCAAGTCAGTCGCATATTGTATGTGGGCGGGGCGGGGCGGTACGGCTTCGTAATTTGTTTCACGATTTCAACTAGATTCAGCGCAACACTTTCCAACACTGGCCATTCCAGCATTCCATCAAATATGCCAGGCTCAAATTACAATCGCTTGCCCAAGCAGTTTAAGCAATTTGCTAATTAAACTGGCCAAGGCGGTTAACTGAACTCTGAGCTCCGTTCGAATTTCGACTTTCGACTTTCGACTTTCGCCCAGCGAACTGAGCTTTGCTGCTGAATGTGGGTCAAGTTGATAAGGGGAAAGTGGGGAGCGGGCAAAGCTAAAGCCATTTGCTGAGCATTAACAATTTATTACATTTGCAATATTCATTCACGTTTTTAATTAGGCAAATCACAAATGCCCAGACTCCAAGAACTGTGGCCCATGTAATGCTGTCAGCATAAACTCCAATTGAAGTCTAATTGCACAGGGTTGCATCTGTATGCAAAGTCTGGGAAATGGCACTATTTTGAATTAGTCATAATCAACAAATTATTGACTCAACATGTGCCTAATTATCTGGCATTACTCATATTTCAAGTGCAACCTGGC